GTACTGGCACGTAATCAGGTAGCATACACCTCGTCGTTCCAGTGAGTCGACCAAGACGTGACTGCTCGCGATGTCATGGGGGACCGTCTCTGGCCGGGCGGCGCAGGTGACGCGCCTGATAGTGAGTGGTATCGATAAGCCTCGCCTCTCGGCTATACTTGCCTGCTGTGCTGTGCTGTGCCTGCCGGATGAGTACACCTTGCCCTCCAAGTCACGACACCGCGTCCTATCATGGCGACAAATTATTTCCAGGAGCGAACAACGCCCGCCTCTCAAAATGGCCTCTCCCCAGCTACCCCGTCAGCAAGCTCTGCCTCTCGTGGGGCAAACGCGCTGTCTACTCGCATCACCAGCGTTCTCTCTGCCTCCTATGCCGATTTAGAAATTCGAGATGCATTCGAAACCCTCGATGCACGCAAGGTGCAGAACACTGCCGAGACGCGGCGGCAACTTCGCATAGATGTACAGAAAGAAGTCATCCAATGCAATGGAGAGATTGTGAAAGACTTTGGCCAAGTCGCCGAAGTATGTGCCCTTCACCTGTTGCATTGATCATACTAATTACACCAGCAACTAAAACGCATCGGGAGTGCTATCAGTAGTCTGAATAGCTACTGCTCTGACATGCGAAGCCATATCGCTGCTGCAAACCGAGAAACTGGACCCGTGCTTGAAGAAGCCACAAGCCTCATCAACCAGAGGAAGCAAGTCGAATCAAAACAGGAGATTCTTCAAGCTTTCACGTCGCATTTTCTCATTTCGGACGAGGAGTCGACGATTCTCACTTCGACCGCGGAGCCGGTTAACGAGGAGTTCTTCCAGGCACTTACGCGAGTGAAGAAGATCCACCATGATTGTCAGGTACTGCTCGGTACAGAAAACCAACAACTAGGATTAGAAGTACTGGAGCAGAGCTCAAAGCAGCTAAATTCAGCATTTCAGAAGCTCTACCGTTGGATCCAGCGCGAGTTCAAAACTTTGGACTTGGAGAATCCACAGATCAGTATATCTGTCAGACGATCTCTACGTGTACTGGCCGAGCGACCGACGCTGTTCCAGAGTTGCCTCGACTTCTTCGCTGAAGCTCGTGAATCGATCTTGTCAGATGCATTCCATGCTGCACTTACAGGTTCAACTTCAGAAGAGCATATTGCGACTAAGCCGATCGAGTTTCACGCTCATGACCCGCTGCGTTATGTTGGTGATATGTTAGCTTGGGTGCACTCGACAACAGTGTCGGAAAGAGAAGCGCTCGAGAACCTCTTTGTCTCAGACGGTGACGAGATTCAACGTTCCATCCAGGCAGGTCTAGAGAGCGAGCCATGGCTACGAGGGGAGGGCGAGACAGAAGTCTTTGACGGCCGGAGAGCACTGGAACAGCTCGTCAGTCGAGATCTAACCAGTGTGGCACGATTGCTGCGACAACGCACCGAACAAGTCATTCAGAGCCACGAGGATGCGACGCTTGCGTACAAGATTGCGAATCTCATCGGCTTCTACAGAGGCACTTTTACCAAGCTACTGGGAGCGGACTCTGAGGTCCTGGATGTGTTCGACACGCTAGAAGCCTCAGCAATGCGACAGTTCCGCGCCAACATGAGAGATTATGTCGTCAATGTGCAAAGCGATCTGGCCGTGGCTCCTGCAGACCTTTCGCCTCCAGATTTCCTAGAGGAAGCTTTGCAGACACTCAAAGTTCTGGCGAAGAGTTACGACACCTCTGTCGCAGCCACCGATGACAACGGCGAAGGTTTCCACACCGTTCTCTCCGAAGCTCTTGATCCATTCATGAGTGGATGCGAAAATCTGCAAAAAGGCATGGGACAGCCCGATAGTGCTATTTTCGCAATAAACTGCCTATTCGCCGCCAAAGAGGTTCTGTCGCAATATTCCTTTGCCAAGTCAAGAATCACAGCAATGGATGAAAATATTGCGGGGCAAGTCGCAGCGCTCACGGAATACCAACATCAGTTCCTGCTTTATGAGTCTGGGTTGAACACGCTTTTGGAAGCCCTATCCACGATATCAGAGTCGGAAGAAAGCCTCAAGTCAATCCCTGAACTTGAGCCTTTTAAGCCTGATGCTCTCGTAGCAGCCAGCCAACAGCTCGATGAGTTCCTCCCATCCGCTCTCATCGACGCCTCGGAGAACTTGAAGCGTCTACAGAATAGGAAGATGATCCAGGACATCACGGAAGAGGCTGCGAATAAATTCTGCGAAGACTTTGAGTTTGTGGAGGCTAAGATGGTGGCGGCGGACGATTTAACGTACGATGAAGAAAAGGAGGATGAAGAGCAGGAACCTGGGCTGAGAGACATATTCCCACGAACGAGTGGGGAGATTCGAGTCTTGCTTAGCTAGAAGATTCTGATGTAGAAGATATGTAGAGAGTTTGAAGAAAGATCCCATCCTATACAACACTCGCTGTTGTCATATTGAGAAACATATATTTCTGTACCGTCAATGGCACTCAATCTCCCAAATCGAGATGACATGACGTGAAATTGTATTCTTGTCGACGAGACGTGACTATTGCGGCTTCTTCTTTTCCCACTCCTCTGGCGTATGACATTTCGCAGTCCAGGCATGAATTGCCGCAATCTCATCCTTGAGCGTCGCATTGACCAATCTGTGCCGTGCCAGTGTTGTCTTTTTTGTGAATTGGGGCGAGACTATGATGGCTTCGTACATTTGTCCGCATCCACCTGATTTCAAGTCAGCATTGCAATGGTGACTCTTCACCTCGCATGAAAAATTGATTCATGTTGTCGTATAACACAATATTAGGTCAACATCAGCTGAGCAGATTATGACAAAAGAAATCCGAACAATACCAGGAACAAAAACAACAAAGAAGAATGTACTCAACCCCATCAACTATAAAAAAAAGCCATGATGATAAAAACCAACAACGACCCAAAAACTCACCACTCATATCCTCAATCTCCACAAACACAGCCTGAATCCCATCTTCCAATTTCCTCCTAATCGCGTCCATGGTGACCCCGCTCGTCGGTGGAGCAGCTGCAGCTCCCGTATCGTCGCTCATTTCAATATCCTGTGCGTTGTTGACGTCTGGACCCACGGAAAGTTTGTCGAGTGACTTGAAGAGCTTGTGTCGTGGATCCATTGTGCCACGGAATTCCGACCCGGTTGGGGATGGGCGAGGGCGAAGGCCTATCTCTGCATCTGATTAGATGCGCGGTGGGTGCCGAATGGGGATGGCTCGGGGTTGGTGGGGGGGAGGGTATGACGTAGGATTGTGTCTGTGCGTGTGGCGTGGGTGAGGCGCGTGGGTTGTGTTTGGTACCTTGCCTTGGAGTTGGCGCGAGTTGTTTAGTCGTGATTGAGATTGAGAGTTGCAAGTGCGCTCGCTGTATGTTTTTGCCTACGCTGCGGAGGCTTTCGAAGGTTACGGTTGCGAGTATGAGTGCGAAGACTACGTCTGCGCCGTTTTCGAGGGCGGTGGTGAGGGCGATGCAGAAGCTGTGAGTTTTGTGCGTGTGCTTGTTGGAACAGCTTCGGAGGTTGTGTTTACAGATGCCATTGCGATCCATTGAAGCACAGTGAAGGTTTCAGGATGTATACTGATCATGTCGAAGCTATCCTCAAGCCCTCGCCGACAATTCCTGGGATAACACTGGCCTGCTGCTCGAAGCTCCCTTCGTCCCATCGCGTCGCCAATCCAACACGGTCCTCTTGACCATCGACCTCACAAAAGCCGTCGCAGACGAAGCAATTGAATGCAACTCGTCCATCATCATCGCCTACCACCCCATCATCTTCCGCGGCCTCAAATCCCTCACCTTTGCAAACACACAACAGCAGACGCTCCTGCGCCTCGCCAGCCACGGCATCAGCGTATACTGCCCCCACACCGCCGTCGACGCCGCACCCGGCGGTCTAGGAGACTGGCTCGCAGACATCGTCACCGGCGCGCGACCAAAAGAAGACATCTCCGACGGAGAGCCCAATCACCCAACCACGCAATCCCCCCCAGACGACCCCTTCACCGAAAAGAAACGCCCAACCTTCCAACTCCACCACCAACCCAGCCAACTAACCCAACGCCTCGCCAAACTCGCCTCCGACAACCCCAACACCACCCCCACCGAAGCCCTCCCCCACAAGCGCCGCCCCGTAAAACCGCAGTCCCCCGAGCTAAAATCCCACCCCGGCGCAGGAATGGGCCGCATCGTCGAATTCGACACTCCGCAGCCCCTCCCCACACTCCTCGACCGCATAGGCAAAGGCCTCAACAACCCCAAGGGCTTCCCCATCGCCATACCCCAAGACACCTCTATTGCCGACATCACCATCCGCAGCATCGGCATCTGCGCTGGCTCCGGGGGCTCGCTGCTCAGCGACCTAGACGTTGATTTACTCTTCACGGGCGAAATGAGTCATCATGAGGCGCTTGCTGCGATTGAAAAGGGGCAGGTGGTGATTAGTTTGTTTCATAGTAATTCTGAGCGTGGGTTTTTGGCAGAGGTTTTGGCGGGGCAGTTGGAGGAACAGGTGGAGGGGGAGTGGGAGAGGTTGAGGAGGGAGGAGATGGAGCAGGGGGAGGGGGGAGAGGAGGAGTATATGAGGGCGCTTTGGGAAGAGGAGTTTGAGGTTGTGGTTAGTGAGGTTGATAGGGATCCGTATGGGATTGTGGTGTTGAGGGGGGATGAGGAGTAGAGGGGTTGATGGGAGGGTTGTGTAGTGTTGTGGTGTGTGCAATAAGGGCAGGAAGTAGAGTATACAATGTACCGTATAAACGTTCAAATCGTGGACCATTTCGTCGGGTCCACGGCCTTGCCTATCCCGCCGGGACAAGCCGAAATACAGCCATGGTAGCCCCACCATCCAACCAATTGTTGGCATCATCCAGGATCTCACTCATGACGACACAGCTATTTAGATCAGTGTGATTTCCTCTATTTTCGCTACCATATGAATTCCTCTTGCTCAAGACTTCCCATCGAGTCAATAACCACGGCGCAATTTCGCGCTCATCCTCCGTGGCGCAATTGGCTAGCGCGTTCGACTGTTACCATACGAGTGCAAATCGAGAGGTTGAAAGTTCGAGCCTTTCCGGGGGAGCCACTCTTTTTTTGTCCTGACGGACGGACACCCTTTACTTAATAGCTGCACACAAAGACCCAACTCTAGAGTTTGGAGCATTTTCTTTTTTTTTTTCGCTTTTGCTTTTAAAAAGTTAATAAGATAGCATGAGCCTTGTATACAAATAATCATGTATGGATGGGTGGGGCAATTGGGGCTTCTATTAGGGGTGGTCGGTGGTTGAAGCTAATATGTGTGTGTTCTACTTTGTGGACCTGGAGACTTGCGATGTATATCTCAGCGCTAAGAACGATCACGCAGGCAGACGACAGAGCTGTGGAAACATGAGAACATTATAATCGTTATTACATGTGAATCTTCGTCTCAAGGAAGCTCCAGTTGTCCCACTCCTGTTATCCCGCGGAGTGGTTTGACCAGCCATCTAAAACGGCCAGACCCAGTCCTCCGTAATCTTAGGATCAATACCCTCATGATACGCATAATTCTTCGCCTCGATCTGCTCATTCAGTAGCTTCTCCCGTGTGGCCGCACCCTTGTTATTCAGGCCCTGAATCTTATCAATTGCAGCTATAGCCAAGCTATATCGATCCGTCCGGTTACGGATGGCAAGCTCCAACGGCGTGTCAATGTTGCCTTTCTCTCGGTAACCATGAACAGAGAGGTTCTGCTGACCCTTGCGTCCGTAGGTAAGTCTGTGGATCAGCCAAGGGTAGGAGTGGAAGTTGAAGATGCAAGGCACGTCGTCGGTGAAGATGGCTTTGTACTCTTCGGCTCTAAGGCCGTGGGGATGTTGCTCGGGATCGATGAGCTTGAAGAGGTCGACGACGTTGACGAAGCGGATCTTGAGTTCGGGAAGGTGTGTGCGGAGAAGTGCTGTTGCGGCAAGGGCTTCGTGGGTGGAAACGTCACCACAGGAGGCCATGACGACGTCGGGCTCTTCGCCGGCGTCGTTGCTTGCCCAGTCCCAGATTCCCACGCCTTTGGAGCAGTGGGCGATTGCTTGTTCCATATCCAGGAATTGGAGGTGTTCCTGCTTGTCTGCGATGATTGTGTTCACATAATTCGAGCTGCGGAGACAGTGGTCCATCGTCGAAAGGAGGCAATTCGCGTCCGGGGGAAAGTATATACGTACCACCTCGGGGCTTTTATTCGCCACCACGTCTATGAAGCCAGGGTCCTGATGGGTAAAACCGTTATGGTCTTGGCGCCAAACTGTGGCGGTGAGGAGGATGTTGAGCGAAGCAATCTTCTTCCTCCACTCAACTTCGAGACACTTCTCGATCCACTTGCAATGCTGGTTCACCATCGAATCGATAATGTGGATGAATGGTTCGTAGCTGTTGAGAAGACCGTGTCGTCCTGAGAGGATATAACCTTCAAGCCATCCCTGTGTATTGTAAGCTCATGTAGACTCATATTAGTACATATATCAACTTACCTCGACAGTGTGTTCTGACAACATTTCCATGACACGTCCGTCAAATGCGAGATTACCACCATCTTCATCTTCATCAAAGTAGTCGCCGAGCCAGACCTTCTTACCAGCCTCATAGACCTTGCCGAGCTTATTTGACTCGGTCTCGTCAGGGCCAAAGAGACGGAATTGTTCTGGGTTCTTCTTGATGATGTCTCGCAGGAAGCCAGCGAAGTTATCCATACTCCCCATCTTGGCAACACCACCTTTTGGTACTTCGACTTTGTATTCCCGGAAGTCTGGCATGTGCAACTTGTGTCTGAGAAGTCCGCCGTTCGCAACTGGATTGGCGCTCATCCTTCTATTTCCAGTAGGCGCCAGCTCCCGAAGCTCTGGGATGAGCTTGCCAGACTTGTCGAAATGTTTTTCCGGTTCGTAGCCACGCATCCACTCCTCAAGTAACTTGAGTTGAGCCTTGTCCTTGAGAACGTTGGTCAATGGCACCTGATGGGCGCGCCAAAAGCCTTCAGAATAATGGTCGCCGACCTTCCTGGGGCCAGTCCAGCCCTTGGGTGTTCGGAGCACGATCATGGGCCAGCGCGGCCTAAATGCCTTTCCGGAGTCCCTGGCCTCCTTTTGATATTCGCGGATCTTTGTGACACAGCGTTCCATTGTGGCAGCCATCGCTTGGTGCATGGAGGGAAGGTCGCTTCCTTCGACGAAGTAGGGTGTCCATCCGTAGCCGAGGAAGAGCTGTTCGAGCTCCTTGTGGCTCACGCGTGCGAGCACAGTTGGATTATTGATCTACAGTGTCTTAGTATCGCTCTGTTCGACCGAATCTCTCACACATACCTTGTAACCGTTAAGGTGCAGCACTGGCAGGACGGCACCATCGGTGATTGGATTGAGAAATTTGGTGGAGTGCCAGCTGGTAGCAAGAGGTCCAGTCTCAGACTCACCATCACCGACCATGGTCAAAGTGATCAGGTCAGGGTGATCGAAGACTGTTCCGAAAGCGTGAGAGATTGAGTAACCAAGCTCACCGCCCTCGTGCAAGCTACCAGGTGTCTCTGGTGTAGCGTGGGATCCAATACCACCAGGGAATGAAAAGGACTTGAAGAAGCGTCTCATTCCTTCCTCATCCTCGCTCTTGTCGGGGTACACCTCAGAGTACACGCCCTCCAAGTAGCTGTTTGAGAGGACAGCCGGTGCACCGTGGCCGGGTCCCGAGATAAAGAGAGCGTTAATGTCGTACTTCTTGATCAAGCGGTTCTGTGTAGACATTGTGTTAACTTCTCGGCCGATTGTGATTGCAGCTGGCTCATCGTACCATGTGAATGTATGTGAAGCTCTGTCCAGCATCTGATCCCCAATGACCGAGCAGTCGGCGCTTGAGATGCTCGATTGTGAGTGGATCGCGAAGCAGAGGGTTTCTTCTCAGGTAAATCATTCCCAAGCACATGTACATGGACGCATGGAAATAGTCGGTCATCTTGCGGACCTCATCGTTGCTAAGCGGATGCTCGACAATCGATGCTCTTGCAGGACCAAACGGCGAAATGCTGAGATGCTCAACATCTTCAGCGACTACCTCAGGGTCGACAGGTGCTTTCGCGATCATTGCGTCCATGATTGCTTATTGGGCGAAGACGCGCGCCTTCAAGAGTGGTTGTGAGAAGGTTGCAAGCAGAAGCTGCGTCGAGAAGGTCTCGGATATGGATTGAGGTCAGTGGTGAGGTGTGAGAAGAACTTGAATTGACGACTGATGTAATGAAGGGAGGCAGCTTCCGCAAAGAGCAGCGGATAGCTCAGCCTTAAGAAGGTCGCGCGACAACACTCCACCGTACAATCCCGCAACAAGGCGTTGGGCGGCACAGCGCGGAGACGTAGTCCTGATCCATTGGGTAGGCGTAGACGCCATTGGCTACACACGTATGAGATCATGCTACTGCAATACTTCATCATACCGTCAATTTTTTGGGGCGTATTGGGTCTCTCCGTCTCTCCGTTTACACAACGTCATACGAGATCGATGACCTGAGGTGGGGCAGATTTGCCGCATGCGGTTAGCCACTATGCATACCAAACGCGTTCCTGTTGATGGAGCACGTGAATTTTACTTGGTTGAGCGGCAATTTGTGGATTGGCGGAGCCAGTCGCCAATTCAACTCCGTCCGGAAGCTCGCGGACGCATGCTTGCTGCCATCACAAATAGTGACATGAGACCGGTCGTCTGTCGTTCAATTGCGGCTCGGTACCGAAGTCTCGTCTTGCGGTTGGGGATCGACACAGGCTTCATGGTTGTTGACTGTCCGCTAGGCATCAACGGCGGGTTAAATACAATCCCCAGCGAACTATCTTCTTGAATTGTGTTGAGTATCATCGACATAATATCGCCATCTCAGTGCATCCCATAGTCGCCCTCCGCAGCTATTGTGCGTTGACACTCAGCAAAAATGGCTGCTTGCCTTGCCACGTCTGCCAGTCGTCCGATAACCTGCTTGTTGCCGTCCACAAAGCCGTACAGTGCATAGGGTATATCGACCTCAGTGCAAAACTCCTGTACCAGCTTCTGAGTCCTCCTCAGGTTGTGTCTTGGGATACGGGGATAGAGGTGGTGTATAGCTTGGAACTGCAGTCCACCGTGAAAGAAGTCGAGCCATTGTGGGCAATCGACGTCCATTGTCGTTCGAAGCATCTTCTGAGGGAAAGACTCATGAATCCCAAGGTCTGCAGTGCTCATTGCAAAATGAGACAGAGTGATCTGGACATGGAGCGGTGAGGTGAGAACGTGGCTAATGATGACAAACCAAAAGCGGCTCCAGTTGTCGGGTATCGTCTTGTACACTACCCCATAGACGTACCAAACGCAGAACACAGCGATCCCAAGAAGCTCGAAGTAGCGGTGCCACCACGCTTGGCCCTTCTTCGGTCCTTTGCCAGAGAGCAGAAAAGTCCATGACAGTCGGTAGAGATTGAAACGTGCAAACAGCATGATGGGATAGTACGTGTAGTGTTGGATGCGGACCATAATCTTGGCGAAAGCATCATACTCCATCACCCACTCGTAGTAAGTCGTTGTGAGGCTTTCAAGGAACCGATGAGTGACGGCGAACAAAGGGATATACTGAATGTCGGGATCGTGTTCTGGATGGTTAGTGACAAGATGGTGGATGTTGTGGCTATATTTCCACCAGCATGCACTGAGGCCGCCTATGTACGAGGCAATGAACATCGCAATGGTCGTGTCTGTCGTGAAGTCATGGGTGATTCCCATGTGGCCCGCGTCATGGACGGTAAAGACGAGCTGGTGCCAAGCGCATCCCAAAGGGACGGCGCTAGAGATATACCACCCACGGTAGAGGAAGTATACAAAGGTGGAAAGGAACAGGCCATATCGTAGGCACTCGATGCCATACGCGGTATAGTTGCAGTCATACAACCCTTCTGATGCGATGCGTTTCTGCAGCTCCCGATACTTCTGGACGATGTTGTCTTGAGTTTTGACGTCTAGGGCTGGATATTTGGCCTTGTCGAAATCCAGCTCCTGTTGCGTCCTCCGATCCAAAACTGTCATCTTTGGTGGCTTTTGTGTATGCTCAAG